TGGGAGTCCAGCGACATAGCCATTACGCTAACTGCTGGTTCCTTAACATATCAGTATCTTTACAAGAGAAGAGGATAAAGACACGCACAGAGCAAAGACCACATGAAGGCAGTGAAAAGGTGGCCTTCTGCGAGCCAAGGAAAAGGGCCTCAGAAGAAAGCAAACTGGGGGCAGGAGGCATCAGGTGGCATGGAGGCGCTGGACTCCCATGTGGCTGACTATGGTATGAGTCCCCAGACCTGGCAGCTTGAAACTCACATTGGGTGCATGTGTTGCATGTCCAAAATCCTGAGAGGAGAATGGAGGAGAAGGGATTGCAGCATGGCCATCTCCCCTGGGGGTGATTTCTCATTTTCTGTCTCTCTGTCTCTCTAGCAAATGCATGCCCCTTATAACAAAAGAACTCTCCAAAAAAATAAATAAAAAGAAGACTAAACCAAATCTGTTGACAATTTGATCTTGAACTTGCAGCCTCCAGAACCATGTGAGAATACATTCCTGTTTTTAAGTCTTGTAGTCTATAGTATTTTATTACAACATTCCTGGCAAACTTTTACACAAAGTTATTACAAGAAAAAAAAAAAATAAGAGAATTTAAAAAAAGAATAATATCCCTCTGGATGATGAACATACATCAGAAAGAAATGTTCACAGACTAAAGCAAAACTGCAGCCTTTTTTTTTTTTTTTCAGAACAAAGATGTTAGAAAAATTATCAAAACATGAAAGAAAAATGTGTCCAAATTAGGAAAAAAACATGAGACATAAGTTAATAGACTTAGGAAATAATCAAAAATTTCAGAAGTACTTTCAGAAATCAAGATTTAACAGAAATAAAGACTAAATACAAAAATGAATAAGTGCTTTAAAAATAAAAGTTGAAAAGAACAATTTTAAAAATAAAAAAGTAATAACGGGATTAAATTCTTGAGGGGAAAAAAGGATAAATATTCAAGATGGGCAAAAAAAATTCAACATATAGATAGTAGAAAGCTCTGAAAAAGAAATCCAAAACAAGGAGGAAGAGTATTAAAAATGAAAAATTCAAGAAAACTTTCAATAAATTTAAAAAAATTGAAATTCTATATTGAAAGAATACAACACATACCTGAGAATATCAAGCCAGAGCAGCCAACATCAAGACATACTTTGGTAAAATGATTGGACTTTAAAGAAAAGGTGAAATGGGGCCAGAAGGTGGTAGAGTGGTTAAGGCATTGGACTCCCACATGGTTGACCACGGTTTGAATCCCAAACCTGGTGGCTTGAAACTTACATCATTTGCATGTGCATGAGTTCCCAAAATCTCTGGAGGAGAATGGAAGAGAAGGAACTGTGGCATGGCCATCTCCCCTGGGGGGGGTGATTTCTCACTTTTTGTCTCTGATGAGCACACAAGTCCTATAGAAAAAATCTCTCAAAACAAAACAAGAACAGAAAAGAAAAAAAAAAGGTGAAGAAAATAAATAAATAAAAGTGGAGATGAGGAGTGGGAAAGAATTATGGACTTCTAGATAAAAACAGCAAGTGACTTATAAGGGAAAAAAATTATTATCATTAGACTTTTTGACAACACTTTATACCAGAAGAAGATGAAATAAAATACTTAGGATACTAAGAAAACAAGTCAAGAATTTTATATCCAGCAAAACTAACTTTTGCTTACAAACAGCACAAACTATTATGAACATGCAAACATTAAACATATAGTTAATTGTAGAACTATGACTAAATGACTACTACAAGGGAACTAATACAGTAAGAAATACTACAGAGCTCAGATGATTAGATAGAACACATTTATTTGAAAGCTATGAGTAGGGACCAGCAGTTAGCGTAATGGCTATGTTGCTGGACTCCCACGTAGTCGACCACGGTTCGCGTCCCGGACCTGGCGGCTTAAACTCACGCCGGGCACTTGTGTGTGTGTGCCCAAGATCCCGAGAGGAGCATGGAGGAGAAGGGATTGCAGCGTGGCCATCCCCCCTGGGGGGGTGATTTCTCGCTTTCTGTCTCTCTGTGTCTCTATGTCTGTCTGGCGAGCGCCCGTGCCCTATAGCAAAACCTCTCCAAAAAAAAAAAAAAAGAGAAAACTATGCGTAGACTAGAGCAAATGTATCAAAGAAATTGTTTTCAGTAATTTGTATTTTAGTATTGTTATTCTAAGGCTAAATATGGGATAAATTACATGAATAATTATAAGGTAGTCTGACATTCCCAATGTTCTTGAGAGCCAAGATTCTTTTTTTTAAAAAAAGAGGGTTTTGCCTTAGTGCATATGCATTTGCCAGACAGAGCAACAAAGACAGTGAGAGGGAAAGTGAGAAATCACTCCCTAGGGGGACGACCACTCCACAACCCCTTCTCTTCCATTCTCCTTCAGAGATCTTAGGCATGAACTCATGTGCCCCTGGTGTGATTTTCAAGTCACTGTGTCCAGGACTTGAACTGTGGTCGGCCATGTGGGAGTCCAGCAATATAACCTCTCTAACATCTGCTGGTCCTAAGAACCAGGATTCTGATGTGGGGGAAGAGATTCCTTTGTAATGTAAAAGAGACTAAGTTAAAAGCCACAAGCCACATGGTCCTTGTTTTAAATTGGAAATACTCTTTGTGAACTCATGACGTTTTATTTTAAAAATGTCTATTGAAGAGGTCTAGGGACAGTGGCCAACTCAGTGACACCAAAAATCTCCAGTATCTAGGCTGTGGACTTGAAATACCATTTTCCACTATAAATAAAATAACAAGTCTAGAACTTCTTGGGGAAATGGCAGCTTGTAGGTCTCAGGCAATAAACATAGAAGATTGGACTATCTTATAGTCTTTATTTGTTTGTTTATTTTTTAGGTTTTTGGCATTGGGTATGTGTGCTCACCAGAGAGAGATAAGAGACAGAGGGAGGGAAAGTGACAGAGTTAGGGAAAGTGAGAAATCATCCCCCAGGGGAATAGCCACACCACAACGTCTTCTTTGTTCTGTCAGGATTTGGGGCACACATGTACATACTCCCAGCATGAGTTTCAAGTTTCTGGGTGTGGAACTTGAACTGCAGTTGGCCACGTGGGAGCCCAGTGCCACCATGCCACCTGCTGGCCCACATCCTGTAGTCTTTCTGTCTCAGCAAGAAAGCTATGAAAATTTATGAGGGCCAGGTCAAAAGGACCCAGGAGCTAGTAGCTGTCATTTTCCCTCTGGCCATAGATGGGAAAATTTGAGTTTCAACAAATGTAGTAGTTGTGATGGATCAAACCTCACCATATTGGTTTAAGTCATGAGTTCATACTGATACCTTTTCTCAAAAATGTCATATGGGGAATGATAGCTAGCTCATTATCCTGAAAACAGAAATAAACAAGAAAAGAGTCAAGTGTGGATTTTGCTTTTCTGTGAAAACTGGTGACCGAAGAGCAGTCTCACGTGGGAGGAAGCATCTATTTAAATCGGTATCCCAACTAATAAGTGAGAATGAGAGGCTGGCCCCATAACCAAATGGTTAAGGGAGCTGGGCCCCACATGGCTGGCTGAAATTTGAATCCTGGCCCCAGCATCTTGAAAACACATTGGGTGCGAGTGCATGCATGCCCCAAATTGCAACAGGGTGGAGAAATGAAGGATAAGGGACTGTGGTGTGACTAACTGCCCCCTCCCCTTCTCTGGTGAGCATACATGTTCTCTGGCAATTAAAGCACATACATACGACCTAAAAATAAATTAAAAATAAATGAAGATGGGAAATGATAGAAATACTCTCAGTATTTTGTGATCCGTCATTAATGGGGTCTCAGCCCTGAGCATCTCAGGGAGACAACCAGATACCACGTGGCCCTGTGGAAGCCACATCACCTCTATCATCTTGCTAAAGGGACGGGGCCTCTGTCGGATCAGGCCTCCAGACCCGGCTAGCAGTGCGCGGAAATCAGGACAGAGGCACATGCAGAGCTGCACCAGGAGGGTGCAAAGGCCAGACTGCAGGGAGCCCTGTGGAGCAAATGCTCTGACTCCACTGTGGAAAGAAAGGGGGTGGAGAGGAACCCTGTCGACTAAAAAGGACTTAAAAGACAGGACAAAAACTTGTTCACGAACACATCTAAGATGGCTAGAGAGACACACTTGTGTGATAAAACTATATAGAACTCAAGCAAGGGGTTGCTGTGGGACTCCGGCCTGGGGATTTGGGGGATGGAGGAGGAGTTGATAGCGTGCCTGGCACATATGAGGGCCTGGGTAGTGCCCAAGTTCTAAACCTCGTGGTGATTTTAAAGGTGTTTGTCTCATGGTCATTCACTCAACTATACCTTCCGTTTGTGTAGCTTTTGTCTCAGTTTTATTTGTGGATAAAGAGATTTTGAAACTGCCTGGCACAGTGCCTGAAACATAGACCTATAATCAGCTTATGCTCTTCTCTTTCCTCCCTGTTGCTTGACCACGTAGATTTGACTTCTCGGTACTGGACAGTGAGCTCAGCCCTTTACACATACTCCCTCATTTACTTCCAGCTCGGCACTTGGCACACACTCCCTCATTTATGACTCCTGCTGCCCACCTGGCCAGCTCTGCACCTTGGATACACCCCACCCTTTACTACCCCTGGTGCCCAGGGGCTCCAGGGAGCTGGGACACGTCTCTCTCATTCACTTTGGTGTTGGCGTCCCCAGCAGCTGGCATCCAACAGGCCTCAAGACATAATTGTAGAGCAGGTTCTTGGTGGTGTGTTTTTGGTTGTCGATGCTGACGCTCAGTAGGCAGGCATCAAAGCTGTGCTGATCCATAATGGGAGCAGACAGACACCAGAGGGTGTCTTCAGCATGGACAGGTCCCAGTCCAGTCTGCAGGAAATGCCACATGGCACCCCACAGCGCAGGTAGGCTTGGAGGTCACAGGTTCTTGAAGGAGACAGATGCTCCCCGCCTGGCCACCTGCTGCTCCTTCCTGGACCTCATCCCCCGGGCAGCCGGGTCCCGCTTTTCAGTCAGCCTCGTGTGCTGTGGTTCTCCCCAGGGGGCTCCGCCCAGAAAAGACAGACACCATCCGCTGCTTCAAGTCCTGCCGCCCTAGCGACGTCACCTGTGTGCTGGACCCGGTGCACACCATCTCCCACACCGTCGTCTCGCTGCCCACCTTCCGGGAGTTCACCCGTCCTGAAGGTGAGTGGGCTTGGCGGGACATTGCGGGGCCTCTGTCTGAGCGCTTGGGCTGCAGGAGCCATTTCTGGTAAGATAGGTGTGTTCTGAAACCTCATAGGCACTGCCACATCCCCTCCGTATATCCAGACTTCCCAGCCCCAGTGCTGAGTCTCTTCTCATAGTAACACTCGTTCAGCAAATAGCAATTAAGCCTTGGTCTGGCCAAGCTCTGGGCAGTCAGGGAGGGCTCCCTGAGAGGAAAGGATTTCCACATGGAGGACAGAGTGGTGAATAGGAGGTGAGCCAGTAAAAGGGAAGAAGGGGAGAGGGTGCCGCACCCAACAGGGCACAGCTGGGGAGGTCTGGAGGTCGGTGGGCAGGGTGGGCATTTGAGAAACCAAGCCAAGTCCGGCTGGCTGGAATGGAGGGGCGTGGCAGGAGATGGACTGGTGGGATATGCAAAAGCCTAGACTTGGAACTGTCTTAACCCAAGGGGAACCTGTTGAGAGGTTATAATGGAAAAGATTTGCATGCAGAAGCGTCATCCTGCAGACTCAGGGGAAAGATGGGCTGGGGGGGGAGCTGGTAAGGCTGGACAGAGGGAGCCCGGGAGGGACGCGGTCAGTGTTCCCATGCCCTGCACTGCCGGCAGCTCTGGGCCTGCTGTGCAGCCCTGTCCAGACAGCCTATCCCCAAGGCATCTGTGCACGCACTGCTTTGCCTGCCCTGCTTCTGGTCGTGCAGTGTGTACCTGGGCTGGTGCGGCCTCCTGCTACCCGCCCTCGGTGGGGTCTCTGTCCCAGCCTCAGGAGGGGCTCAGCATCACTAGTTCCTGCAGCAGACGCTGACCGAGCCTCAGGCTCTGGGCCAGGCTCTGGAGACGCGGTGGCAGATGAATCCCCTGACCTGCTCAGGGAAGACACTGCTGAGCTGACTGTACAGGGTGGCCCTGGCCACCAGGGAGGGGAGGGCAGGAGTGACGCCCAGTGTCAGCTGCCTGCAGGGGTAGCCTCAGTGCCTGCTTGTTCCCCCAGGAGAGGGGAGGCACAGGAGCCTCCTGGGCACAGCCCAGCCGAGAACATCACGGACGGGTTTGCCTTGGGCAAAGCGGTGGATTTCACCACCACATACAGATCCACCCCCCAGCTCCCTAATGGCCGGTCATGTGGCCTCTGGGCAACGCTGATCTGAGAGTCAGTCACCCGCAGACCGGGTGTGGGTAAACACCTGCCGGCACCTGGGCCCTGGAGACCCAGACCCTGACCTTTAGTGTTGAAAGGACCCTCTGTGTCACCAGCTGGCTGTTCCTTCCCTTCACAAGTGAGGAAACTGAGGCCCAAGGGAGGACCCCTGCCCCACAATCACTGAGAGCTGGGTGGGCCAGGCCTCGTGGCTCCTGGACCAGGCTGCTTGCCCTGCCTCACTGCTACGTGTTCTGGGAGGTGGACACGGCCATCGGCCTGCCCAGCCCACCCAGGCGAGCCACTGGTCTGACCCTGGTCCCTGTGAGTGGGACAAGCAGCTCCCTTGTGGCCCCCTGCCCCCTGTACCTTTGCGTCTTCTCCACCTCCCTTCCCTTTCCCCTTCCTCGGATTCGTGGATATTCATTACCGATTATTTTCAGTGCTGACCCCTGGGAAGACTCAGTCAGCAGACTGTGGTGTCTCCTGAGGAGACAGGGCTGGGATGGAGGGACCCTCAGGACTCTCCCATCTCCTGCACCCCTGGGCCGTGGCTTTGGTGCTGCTGTGAATGGCCCCTCACCTGGGCCCTGCTCCACGAGGTGGGTCCGTGTGTGGGTCAGCCCTCCTCTGTGTCCCACTGCAGAGATCATCTTCCTCCGGGCCGTCACACCGCTGTACTCTGCCAGCCAGGCCGACATCATCTTCGACATCACAGAAGGGAACCTGAGGGACTCCTTCGACATCATCAAGCGCTACATGGACGGCATGACTGTGGGTGAGTGGCCGGGGACATCTGGGCTGTCCAGCCACTGCCGTTCCTCCGTGCCCAAGGCCAGCCTTCGCCTTGGTGCCAAGGGATGGAAAACCTGTCAGGACCTGCCCACTCCCACGTCAATCCCACCTGTCCTTCGGGCCCAGCTCTGAAGCCCTCAGAGCCCCCATTGTTCTCAGCTGAGGAGCAGCCTGGAGTGGTGGGCCCTGTCCAGGGTCCAACCCTGGCTGTGCCACTGGCTTTCTGGGGGACCCCTCTGGGCCTCAGTCCTCCCACCTGTAAAACGGGTGGCTTAAATACATCTCTGCCTCTCAAAACCGTGACCGTCTCGCAATATCCCACAAGTCAGTGCCTGCTGTCCCAGGACTCTGCTCAGTCCCTCAGTTGGTGACACCATGTGCAACAGGAGGAATGCAAACTGGGAACCCGAGCCTGGAGCCTGGCCTTGGCCTCCGAGCCAACAGCATGTCAGTTGGTGAGAGGCCGAGGCCTGGGCACAGCTCGCCCGCCACTTCCTCCCTGGAGGTGCCGTGTCCTGGCACAGGGAGGGGTTGGGGCAGAGGACGGTGGAGGGCACTTCTGTGGAGGGGCCACCCGAGGGCGTATGGGGGTACAGAGAAAGGGGGGCCTGGCAGAGGGAACGGCCAGGGCCAGCGCCCGAGGAGAGATGTTGGCAACTGGGGAGTGTGGCTCCCGCGGCTCAGGGAGAGGCCTCTGGAGGCCCGAGCTGCCATGGGCCAAGGAAGCGGTTTATCGCCGGGGCAGGACCCCTGGCTGGGGACCCACTCCAGCTGGCCGGTTTCCTTGGGCCGTTCCCAGTACCGCCCCCGCGTGGTCACGGGGTAAGGAGTGTCAGTTCACGAGACAGAATGGTTACATTGGCTGCTCTCTACTGAGGTCTGTGCTCTGAACACTTGCAAAGCGGCCCAGTCCGTGCCCTCCCCTGGCCCGTTTCCCATGGCGAGTCAGGAGAGGAGTGGGCTTAGCTTCGAGGGCTTTTGTAACTGACACATGGTAATTACACAGATGGAGGTGTCACCATGTGCTACTGAGACTCTGGTAACCAGTCGAGGGGATTAGCATAGCCGTCCCTCCCGGTTCTGAGGTCCAGGCCAGAACCTGCGTCCTCACAGCTAGTGCAGAGCCGCGCGCGTCGGACTCGGTGTCCAGGAGGTGGCGCTGTTGGGTATACTCTGTGTAATGACCTGTCCGGGTAATTAGCATAACCATCCCCTCCAAGTCCCAAAGTCCTGTCCAGACCGGCGCCCGGAGTGGAGCGTGTCTGCACTTGGCCTCCAGCAGGTGGCGCTGTTGGATCTTAGAACTCGTGTCCTGGCAGCCTCTGCCACGCATGGTTGTTGAACTGGCAGCTGGAGAAAGGGGATCGTTATTCTCAGTTGCCAAAGAGCCATTTATAGCGACTTTACAAGCTCTTAAATGGGTTTGCATGTTGTAAACACGACTGAGTCATTGGGGGCTCCCCCACCCCCGGCCTCCTCCGCTATCTGGCAGCAGG